AAAGGGAAGTGACTAGATAACATGACTGCCAGAAAGGGAAAGAATGACCATTTTTCAAGATATTGCTCTGAAATTGGAAATATGTTTACAACTACTCACCAGTAAAAGCACTACGACAGATGCATGTATAATCATTTATCAGCTGAACACAGTCCAGACTTCCACGAGGGTTACAAGGATTAGAGAGGCATTCGTTGATATCTCCCTCGCATCGCTCGCCTGCAAAGCCTGGGAGACAAATACAGCTGTAGCTCCCGATCTGGTCAATGCACTGCCCTCCATTAAAGCAGCGGGGTGCTCCTGAGTCTGAAACACAGTCATCCACGTTCTCCTCACAGAAACGGCCTGTCAAGACAGTAAAAAGTAACAATTTGAGGATACAGTGTCATGGCCTCATTTCCTACACTGCTCATTAAGTTTTAAGACCATCTCACACACAGTCCCAGATATAAACAGGTAAAGATCCCAGCTTAATGCAATCCATACCCCGTGCAGACATCCAGCCTCAGATCAGACCTAGGGAGCATGTGTTTTAGATCCAGGCTGTTCTCAATGGTAGGTCATACTGGTATTTAGCAGCTTTCATGCTTGACTTAATTTAAGGGCATAATTAAAAACACAAAACCAAAACAAAACCAAAAAAGATGCACTCAGTTTAGCCCTGCAACTGAACTGAGAGCCCTGTGCTGCCCTTGCAAGGCAGCAACTTGGCGGTAACCCTGAAACTTGGCAAAAAGCATTTGTAGCGATATCACTAAAACAAGCAACAACAAACCAACAGAAAAACAACTGTGATAAAACACAGATTCCTGGCCAGCATGCCATTCCTGCAGTTTGACTTCTGTGGACTTACAGTAAACTCTCAACACAGGCTAGGGATGGCAGTTTCTCCCTCTCCCTACGGGGTTCCCTTTCAAGAGACAATGTCTGGTACTGGTTCTGCCTTCACCGCACAGTATAACGGATAAAAGAGGACAGAGAGGGTAAGCTGAGCAAGGAGTTTTGTCCCTTAACACAGTTGATTTGTCTGGAGCAAGTAAAGCCATTCATCTAAACATGGAGGATGCTTACATTGCCATCAGTAAAGTATTTATTTCAAACTGGGCCAGCGACAAAAGCTAAGTCTTGATATCATAAGTAATTACATCAATCTTTTCTAATTCCTTTCATTTTTAAAAAAAAAAAAACATCACATCCAAAAAGTAATTAATCTCAACAAATAAAGACTGAAGAACTGAAAGCTATACATTCAGAACCTCTCAAAGGAGGATGGGTGCTTTAGTACAACACAGAAATTCTGGCAATGCAGAAATAGGTACATAAAATACACACTTTGATGTAGAGACATAAGAAGCAACTTTTTTTGTTTTTAATTGGGGGACCAAATTAAGAACAATACATGAAGAACTGCTAACGCAATGATTTACAATGAAATAAACACTTATCCAGACTGGGGAGATGTGCTGACAGCCATACTAAAGTGAATGAACTGGTAATATGCACGGGCAGGAGGAAAATATATTAGATTATTTTATAATTTTACTTAAATTTACTTTATGAAGCAAGAATTTAGTTCTATCTGACACACATCTGGAGATTTTGCCTACATTGAGATGACACACTTCAGAAAGAAAAAGTAAGTTCAGAGGAATGTAAAATCTTTAACTGACTTGAGAAAAAAATTTAAGAAAAAAAGTCAAATGAGAAAGCATTCATTGATGGGTTAAAATGTGCAGTCCTGAATATTTTCAAAGGTAGAAGTCAGGGCCATCAGGTTAGATATAACAGGGAAATGGAAGGTTAGGTTTCAAGAAACATGACATTAAACAGGCTGTGGAATCATACTTACTGAAAACCACCATTATGTACTGTGGACTTTTTTTAAAAAAAGGAGCTTTTAATAAGAGAGCTCAAATTTGCTGGAATAGTTTAAGCTAGCCCAGAGGCACTGAACTTATTTTCCACAAAAGACTCCAGGACAGAGGACAATGCAGGGCCAAAATTTAAACAAGTAAAGGACACTGGAAATTATGCAAGAACTAAGCAAGTTTTCTGTATATTTCATAGCATCTTAGCCAAAAAGAAACCTTGGATTTACTGTATCAAAACAGATATGGTTGGGAGAGACCTGAACGATAACCTAGTCCATCCCCATTGCCAAAGACAGATCATACATTCCCAAAGGACACTGTCATGACCTTTTCCTTAAAAAGAAAAAAAGAAAAAGAAAAAAGAAAAAAAAGCAGCATTTATTTTTAAAGAGAAAATATGTATCTCAAGGGATTCAGTGCACTTTGGGAACATTCTTCAAAGAAAATAATGCATTCCCTTTAGACTCTGCATCATGAAACCAGTAGTCAGAAAGGAAAATTCACTCTTGTAACATTCACTTAATTGCTGAGCTTCATACCCCGAGTTCCTGGTGGACAGGAGCACTTGAAATGATTGACGAGGTCTATACATGTTCCTCCATTCTGGCAGGGCTGAAACTGGCACTCATCCACTTCATATTCGCAGTTGACACCCTGGTATCCAGGCACACACTGCCAGTGTAAAAATAAGTGTGAATAATCTTCTCCTAAGAGATACATTAGTAGACATCTGAGAAAGGCTAACACAGACAAAATGAACCCTCAATGGGACAGATTATGACTGCCTTTGTAGCTATACAACTGCAAGTGATTTCAAGGGCTGCACAGCCAGCCAGCTTAAGCACACAACTTGACCATGTGACTACTCAACAGCACGCTGCATGTTCGAATTTGAGTGACTTTATTCCTGCAAAATATAACGATCAAATCCTTACACCCTTTAGCACTGAGACTGGCTTAGTACTTTTGACTTAAAGTTTACATAAAACTCATCCCTTCCTTCTGGGCATGAGCTTCCAAGGTGTTCTACCATTCTGAAAAGTTTAGGAAGTTGATATACCATAACCTCATGGCTCTCTGCATCAGCTGTAGGAAACAAAAAGCAGTGGAAGACATCTCCCACTCTGAGAGGCAAGGGATACTTTGCCCATCCAATAGGGAAAATACAACATTCCTTTAATGCATTCTACATATATTTTAACATAAACCACACCTCAGGCAAAAAAATCTTTCAAGATAAGAACTCCATCTCCAAAGAGGCAAAGAGTTCAAATGCCCATCAACCACACCTCCTTACAATCACATCTCTAATTCAGTCTTAAAAGCCTCTCAGGAGCACCGCTTCTGCCACAGCTAAATTAAAAATTCTTCCCAGGTGCAGGTTGCTTTTATGCCCTCTTTGAAGCTATTCTACCACTTGCACGTGTTTCTGATTTCTTTTGATTCCTTTGCATTACAATGCTCTAAATATTTAGACCTCTTCCTACTAAACCACCACGCCTTACCTCGCATTGGTATCCACCCAGGTGATCCCGGCAGGTAGCACCGTTCTGGCAGGGGCTGGAGTCACACTCATCCAGCTGCGCCTCACAGTAACTGCCAGTGTAACCCACCTGGCACTGACAGTGGTGCGTGTTTCCAACATTGAGGCAATGACCAGAGTGCTGGCACAACTGGTCCACTGTGACTCCTGAAACAAAGTTAAATAAAGTGAGCAAACACGTAAAACACACTTGCCGCCAGCGTTGGTAGCTCAGCCAGGAATGAATACGGCTAGACGCAACAAACTGGAAAGTTGAAACTTTGAAAATTGAAGTTACTCTTTAAATTACAGTGGGTCAGAACCACAACTGGCTTCCAAATGAAGTCACTGCTCTGTCGCCTTTGGATCATCAGCATCAACACTGGCATGAAGTATTTGTATTGCTGTATTATTTTACCACTGGGTAGTGAATACACATCTGAAGTACTACTGTTGCAGTACAAAGGTTCAACGTTTGCACCTAGAATGTCTGCAAAAGGTATGGGAGCTTGACACCCTTCTCCTTTGACACTGAATCTGCTTGTTTGGATTTCCTGGACTAAAAATGGCATGACACTGTCCATCAGCCTGGGCTACAAGCCGCCTTCCAGGAAGAAATTCACTTAAAACCCAAATCTTTTACATGTACATCATCTGAAGCAGGAAATTACTACTTTGGGGGGCCATGATATTACCTATATAGCTAAATAGCGCACTTAGTAGCCAGTATTTTCTGGGAAAATACTTACAAAGATCATGAGTTACAAGATTCCCTTCTTGTACAAGGACATATTTTAAACCTGGCATGCCTTGGATTTAGCAGAAAGGCATAAATAGCTGATGTATTTCCCAAAAAGGCAGTCCACGTAAAACACTATTACTGAAACTCTGAGACTTCCTAAAATATTTAATTCTTTTTTTCTAATATTTTTATGGTAGAAGCGAGAAGCTTCTTATGTCAGGGAGAATCAAGAAAGCCTTGACTCCCAAATACAACCTCGCAGAGAATTTTTTACCTTAGAAGTGATCATGATCGACCACCTAGAGGCAAAGCTCTCTGGTATTTCCAAAACATGCTGTGCTCACAGGCGTATGGGGAAAGGAGAAGCACATTAATGATGCATGGGGAAATGTTTTCAGTCAAAGCATGGAGGATGCTTATTTACCCCTTTGTGAAGCTGCCACTTGACATGAGACATTGGGCACATCGCAGTAAGCACCAGTCCAGCCAGATGGACAGACGCATCGAGTCTGGGCTCCACTCTGGACACATGTACCTTTATTCTTACAGGGAGACTTGCTGCACAGATCCATAAGTGCCTGGACAAAAAAAAATCCACAACATGATATATGGCAAGCGCAGTAGGAAACACTACTCAGAGTACAAGTTCAAGAAGCAAAGAAAGGAAGCTCTGCAAAGCTGGTTCCATGTGGCACTGGAAAGAAAGGGACAGTACTTCCCAAGTCTAAGCCAGGTGCTTCACTGACAGTCTCAAGAGCTCATATGCCTAGGAAAGCGCAAATGTACAGAGAAGTAAACCCCAGATGGCAGCACCATTTCAAGAGTAAGCTGATCCTCACACCTTGCTATGCAGAGACACCTTTGCCTGGCTGGGTTTGAGAAAATTCAGTTTTATCTCAGACTAGGCTTCTAATTCCACATTAGTAGGAGGCTTCCAGCTATCTTGATTCCTTATACAAAAAAAACAGTTTCCAGGCAAAGAGACTAAAACGCAGTAAATCATCACATGAAAGTGGAGTGAGGACCCAAAATAACTGTATGACCTAATACAAACCAGCCACTAACCATCATTTCCTTTCCGAGCACTTAGTCTTCAAAGTAACACAGCTATTTGATTGATTTCAAGCTGACTTGAGGGAAGGATGAGGTTTTTAAAGCGAGTAGTACTGAATTTTGGCTGTAAAATGCAATTTCAATTGCAGAAAGTTCTGCTTTTCAGATGCAAACTGTCTGCTCACAAAGATTAAAGTAGAAAAATCTGCGCTTTCACAGGCAACCAAAAAGAAACTTGGAATTAAGTTTTATCACATGTAGTTGAGCGTGAAGAAGAAAAACACCGAGCCTCTTGCTTCTGCATTTGTAATGAGTAGCTGACTGTTTTACATGCAAATTCTATAACTTATGAATCATTGTCTGATTTTGTGCTGCTTATTTAGCTTTGCTAATTAGGTCAAGTCAGTTTACCACTAAGACAAGAACTACAGTGTAGCTGTAATCTATAATCTCTCCAATACAGCTTTGACTAGTACTTATAAATTTAGAAAGTTCTGATTCCTTGTATAAAATGAGTAATACATTATGATCAAGCTTCTCTGAACATAAAGCGGACTTTCTGAGAAACCACAACATTTAATTTGGGGACAAGAACATTAATCCTTTTCTCAAGTGAAAACAAAGCAAACATAACAGAAGAGGAACTACTGAACTTCACTGTACTTTACGATCACTCTCAATGCTAATTCTCCCAATGAGGTTTAAGTGGTGTGCCCAGAATGCATAATTAGGGTAGCAGAGGGGTTGCTTTTTCATATCACTTCATTACTTTGCATTCACTTCCTCCATTAGCAATACCTAGAAGCAGACCTGACAGTTTAATGTCTAGCAACATACTTCTGAAAAGCACCTCCCCCACTGCCACCAAAATGCTTCTTCTAACATCCACTGCTTTACAAAGACACAATGGCCCTTACAAAATTTTAGTGTTTTCCAGTAGTTTAAGAAATTCAGAGATCATCAGCCATTTAAAGTATAGGTTTGCAGCTCCTACGCTCAACTGTGGAGAACTGTAAATTGCCTGAACTTAAGTCTGAAAGTAAGGCTTGAGGTTTTTATTGAGGTTGTTAACAGGACAATCACATCAGTTAGTGCCCCAAAACGTTTTCTGGCTTCTTGGGAGGCGGGGAG